AATAAATTGCAGGAAAGTTTTGGGGTGGCTCAGCCTCCTCCAGCACTGTTGTTCCACGAGCAGGAGCGTGCAGGACACTGGTGTGAATGGGATGGGATAGGATCCATAAGAAAAAATGGAATATTTGTGTGGGAAGGGAGCTGCAATGATCATTTTAACTGCCCAGACATTCCCGTGGCTGTTGTGCCAGCAGGACCCGGCTTTCCCTGGCTGCTCCATTCCCTGGAGAGGGGATGGACACCAAACCAGGTGCCAGGAGCTGGATAAATGTGCAGGTCCCGGGGCTTTGGGGCACATTTATGAGCAAACAGTTGTGGTTTGTTTTCCAGGAAACAACCCCTGATTAGAGGCAGATGAACCCTCTTGGGGTCTGGCCATGGATTTATTTCTACCAGAAACAAGGATTTATCTGATTAACTGCCCTTCCTGCAGGAACAGGAATGGTTTGGGTGCAGAAGCCACCCAAAGGGGAGGTGAGGGGGTCTCCAGGGTGCAGCCCAGGGCATTCCATCCCTTTGGCAGCGTCCTTCCAGAGCCTGCTGGTGCCAGCTCGGGTCAGTGGGCACTGGCTGGCACCAGGGCATTGTACAGATGGCAAAGTGCCTCATTCCGGGCACTCCTGGTGGAAATCAGCTTTACTGGGGGCAAAGGCAAGGTCCCAGCCCAGCTGGAATAACCATCCCCAACCCAAGAATGGTTGGGAATTGAGCTGGGAGTGGGAAGGGAGAGCAGAGCCATCGTTTGGGTTTGGAGGGAAAGGGTCTCGCCCCTCCTGGGTGGATTTTGGGAAGGCTGAGGGGAGGTGAGTGGTTAGAGCTGGAGGTGATGCCTGGAACAGGGGCTAGACAGAGCTAAAAGAATGAAGTAGGTGGCTTTAATTTATTAAAGGCCTTCAAAGGACACACCTTGGGCAGTGCAAAAGTCTCACAGAGGCTACACCCAAGGTGGACATTGGTCGAAGAATAAAGTAGGTGGCTTTAATTTACTAAAGGCCTTCAAGGACACACCTTGGGCAGTGCAAAAGTCTCACAGAGGCTACACCCAAGGTGGACATTGGTCACGAGTTTCTCAGACTGATTTAAGTTTGGTCTATTTGCATATCAGAGTTAATTGTCCAATTATAGCTTCAGGTAATGAAGTCACCGGTTCCCCTGGTTCCCTCTACCCCATTCCCTTTTGTTTAAACTTTTCAGGGTCTGAGGCTGTGTTGGTGGCCTTGGTTCTCAGGTCTGGAATGATTGTTCTGTCTGCCCAAAATGTGAAGAGAGCTAACTAACACTCTGTATCAGTTCAGAGTTATACACAAATACGCTGCAGGACCTGAAAAATGTAAAAGCTAAAACTTAAGGCATCAGAGGAACATTATCTGAGCATTAAAAGGCCGTGGCCAAGGACACCCTGGGCAGGGCTGGAGCATGGAACTGCTGGCACCAGCGAGCTGCCTGCCAGGGAATCTCTTGACCATTCCCCTTTCAGAGGCACAGCCATGCAGGTTTACAGGAACTGTGCATATGTTGCATCCCAGCGCTCCTCATCCGATCCTCCGATGCTCCGTGGGTCGTAAAAATTAAATGGGCATAAATCCATCAGCGCCAGGGCTCTTCCTCGAGCTATAAATCCCACGAAAGCTAATTAAAGAGGACAATGGTGCCCATTTAAAGCTGGCACAGGGATGCAGGAGCCATTATCACCGGGAGAACAGGGCTCCAAATGGATTTGTGAGGCCGAGGAGCTGGCGCTGAGCACGGCACTGTGCCGGCGGCTCTGCCTGGCACAGTGAGGAGATTGTGTTAAAGCCCCCAGGATTGATTTCTCCTCTGCTTTGCCTTGGAAATCAAATCATCCCATTAAGGTTTGTGCAGGAGTTTGTTCTTGGAATGTTATCTGGCAGCTCAGGGAGCTTCTCCTGGGCTTGGTTGGTTGAGCCTCGGTCGCTGCCGGAGGGGAGCAGGCTCTGCTGCTCTTCCCTGAAAGCCTCCAAAGGAGGGCTGTTCCCAGGGATTGGCGTTGGGATCAGGGCCAAGGCTTGCCTGGGGTGCTGCCCCTCTGCAGGGCTTGCTGCTCTCCTGTAGTTTGTTGGGTTTATGCTTTGGGAAGGGCAGGGAAACTGAGGCAGGAGTGGGGTGACACCATCCGTGGAGGTTTATTCCTGCAGGGTTTACTCCCGACAGGGAGTCGAGCCTGGCTTTGCTGATGGGTTTTTCATCTCCTGGCTGGTTTTTGAGTGCTCCTACCCTGGTGAAACCCCGTCCTGCTCTCACTGTTTTAAGGAGTTAGACCTGACACCCCCAGCAGCTTTTAAATGTCTGACCTGGCTCTGGGGCCCCTAAATCAGAGTCCTCACAGTGCTGGGAGGGAGAGCTGGGAATCTGTGGGCTCACAGAGCTCAGCACAGGGCTGAGCTGCTCGGGCTCCATCCGAAGCGTGTCCCCTCAGGAATCAGGCCTGGGACACCCTGGGGTGGGGCAGGACAGCCCTGACCCTCCTGGGGGAGCTTTCCAAGCCCTCCTGGTGTCTCCCTTCTCCCTGAACTTCTCCCTCTCCCTCCTCCCTCCAGTCTCAGTTTGTGCAAGGCTTTCCAGCTGGAAAATAATCGGACTCAAGGATCTTTAGGATTATTTTCCAACGTAAGTGATGCCATGATTCTGTGAAAATCCTTATCCAGCTATTCCCTAAAGGAGCAGGAGGCTGAGGGGCTTAGAGCCTCTCTGTCCTCCCTCTCCTTGCCTGTTCCTCTCTTTTCTGGCTCTTTTCTACCCTTCCTGATTCTGAGGAGCAGCAGAAATAAAGGACAAATCTCTGGATTGGTGTTGAGGTACCACTTAAAATCGACTTTTTTCCTCTCATCCCTTTTGCAAGGAATGCTGAGGTGTCAGTGGGTTTAGGGGCAGGCAACAATGAGCACCTAGAAATGCCAGCGTTCCGTGGGATTGCGGGCTGGGGCTGAACACACACCAGAAATGACAACCTTTTCCATGGAAATAGCTGGAAATTATCCTGCTGGGAGAAGAGTGAGGGATTAACCACCGGGGCTCCTCAGCTCTTTCCAGCGAGCTCAGCAAGTCCCTCTGTAAGGTCTGAAGGACATCCACGGTGCCCCCAGCTGTGCACATCTGCCCGTGTGGGCGGCCGGGTGCCCTGGCAGTGCCAGGGAGCCGTGCCAGGCGGTGCCAGGGTGGCTGTGCCCGCCGAGAGGGGCACGATGCACACCCAGAGCTCGCCCGGGGTGAGGAGCAGGGCTGGCCCTGGCAGGGAGCTGCTGCCCCGTGCTCCCGTGGCACTTCGGCCGCTCCCGAGGCCACCTTTGTCCCCTTTGTCCCCACAGGATGGGTTTGGTGTGACTCAGCGCCCTCGTGGGGAGCGGGGTCAGGGAATCAGAGCCCGGCAGGGAGAAGGAAGCGGCTCCTGTGAATCCCAAAGAGCCTGGGGAAGGGGAACACTCGGCTGGGAAAGCGGGGTCGGGATGGGGAAGGGATGGAGGGCTGGGAGGGAAGGAAAGGGACAGGACCTGTCTGGGAGAAGCGAATTCCTGCTTTGCTCCATCCTCCCCGAAACTGGAACCGTCCCTGTCCTGCTCTGCTGCCCGAGCCCCGCGGGGCAGCACAGTCCATCCCGGGGTCCCGATCCGGTGTCATTTGTAATTAGGGCGTTAATTAGCTCTTGAGGATGTGACCCAGTGGTACTTAACCCTTTGCAAGCTGCTGCTGCTGCTCTGCAGGGCTGAGTCACAGCAGGGGAAGGGCCACAGGCGTTAAACCCATCGCTTTGGGTTATGGATCTCGAATTGTTTTATCCTTAATACGCTGGTAAAAAGCCCAGCCTGGGGTGAGCAGCGCCCCTCACAAGAGGATTAACGTGCCCAAGTGGCACTGGGGTCCCTGCCCTGCCCCTCAGATCCCTGTTTGTCCCATCGGGGGGCTGGAGGTGCCAGTGCTGCCCTGAGCACGGGGAGAGAGAAGATTGTTTTCCTTGCCATGGCAGTGCCCCCAGCAGAGCATGTGCCCTCTGTTCTCTGCGCAAAACTCCGCTTTTAAAAAAAGAAAAGAAGGTGCTGGCTCGATGCGAAGTGTCAGGGCACAGTCCTGGAGAGAAACGCTCTCCAGAGCATCTGAGAAGCGCTCGGGGAGCGCGGGGAGGCTTTGGGAGCAGAAGTGACAGAAGCCAAGCGTGGCTTGTAAGAGCAAGGGTCCCATCAGGAGCCGGCGGGCTGTGACTCCCGAGCCCTGCCAGGCGGCTCCAGCCGTGCCCAGCGGCCCGGGGGAGGCTCCCCGAGGGCGGGCGAGCTCCGCGGTGCTCTCCCGGCGATGCTTTCCCTCCGCCGGAGCAGTTGGTGCGGGAGCGGGGCTGGGCTCGGGGGAGGGCGAGCGTCGCCTCCTTGTCCCCGTGCCAGGCTGGAAATCTGGGGAGAGGAGGAGCTGAGCGCTGATCCCTGCAGCCAGCCTTAAAAGCAGTTGCCTTTGGAAGTGTTTTCCTAACTCGGGGGAAGGGGAGCGGAGCGGCCTCTTCTGTTCCTGCTGCTCTTCAGCAGGTCCAGGACGGGCTCCTGGGGCTCCTGGGGCCACCTCGGAGCGACGGCACCTCGGGCACAGGTTTCCTCCCGGGCGGGGCTGCTCGGCCCCTGGCTGGCTCTCACCCCGCAGGGTGTGGGATGCTCTGGAGAACACACGGAGAGGGGGTCCCGAGCCGGCAGCAGCCGCGGCCGAGCCCCCTCGGTGGGCAGAGCGGGCAGTGCCCCAGCGCTGCCCTGCCCTGCCCCGCGGCCCTGCCAGGGCTCCCCCCGCGCCCCCGCCGAACAGATGGTGCCGATTTTCGCAGGGGGAGGTGGAGGAAACAAAGCCCGGAGCGCTGCGAGGCTGCAGCCTGGCTCCCGAACGCAGCCCGGGCTGGGAGGGGGTGACATCTGTGGGGACGGGGTGCCCGTGGCAGGCACTCAGCAGGCACTCGCGCCTGCCCTGCCTCACTTATCTCCCTCCTTTGTTGGTTTTTCCCCTCCTTTCCAGATAAAGAAGCCCGCGCGCCGTCGGCGGGGATGCCGGTGAAGCGGGCGGGCTGCCTCCGCCTCCCAGCCCGGCGCGGGACCCGCGGCTGACCGCAGGCTGCAATGTTCCCCGCTCCAGGCGATGCCCAGCCCTGCCCGCCCCGCTCCTAGGCTGCCTTCCCGGCGGTGACATTCCCGCTTTCCTGCTGCTGGCAGAGCAGCGCCCCGAGCATGCCGCAGGAAGCCCCTCGGCAGCCGAAGCCCAGGGGAGTTTTCCAGTGAGTCCCGCTCCCTGAAAGCCAGAGTTGCCCTTTCCCAGCCCGGCGTTGGGAAGCGCCTCCGACAGCGAATTCCCCTGCCCAGCGGGTGTCGAGGTCCTGGAGGAGGGGGCTGCCATGGAAGAGAATGTGTTCAGCGTGCAGCAGATCCAGCCCAACGTCATCTCGGTGAGGCTCTTCAAGCGCAAGGTGGGCGGCCTCGGCTTCCTGGTGAAGGAGCGCGTCAGCAAACCGCCCGTCATCATCTCGGACCTGATCCGGGGCGGGGCTGCCGAGCAGAGTGGCCTCGTCCAGGCTGGGGACATCATTCTGGCCGTCAATGGCAGGCCCCTGGTGGACATGAGCTATGAGACGGCGCTGGAGATCCTGAGAAGCATCGCCTCCGAGACCTACGTGGTCCTCATCCTGCGCGGCCCCGAGGGCTTCACCACTCACCTGGAGACCACCTTTGCGGGCGACGGGACGCCCAAAACCGTCCGTGTCACCAGACCCCTGTGCCCGGCTCCCAAGGCGGTTGACTTGTCCAACCCAAGCGCTCCCAGCAAAGAGCAGCCGCTGCCAGCAGCCATGGGATCGCTGTGGGCCAGGGAAGCGGGGAAGGAGGTGGAGCCCGTGGTCCACGTTAACGGCGTCGTTCCCGGCAGCAAAGGGCCGGAGGGCGGCAAGGGCAGGGACGGGGCTTGTGGTCACTCCTGTCTCAACGGCGGCGTGGAAGACAACGAGCTGCTCAAAGAGATCGAGCCCGTCCTGGACCTGCTGAAGAGCAGCAGTAAGGACAGCGGTGGAGATGCGCCCTCCAAGGTAGAGACACGGGATATAGAAGTCCAGGTGGACTGGTAGGTCCCTAAATACATTTTTTACCTTTGGTGGAACGTGCTGGTTTTGGCTCCCCGAGGTGTCTCCACAGCTGGCTGCTGCCTGGCGCAGCAGGGTGGAGATGGAGGGGAGGGGATGGGAAAAACCGGGAAGTGGTCGGTGAGGGGAAGATGAAAAATTGGGGGAAGGTTGTGGAAGAAAGATGTAAGCACGGGAAATTGGGGAGATCGGGAATAATGTCACGGACAGCTGGGCTGTGGGATGGGGTGGACCACGGGCTGGGCTGGGCTAGAGCTCTGCTCCATGTTCTCTATTCCATTTGTTTTAAGATGAAGCAATATCCCGTGCCTCAGTTTCTCCACCTGCCAAATAAGGTCCAGGGTATTCCTGTCCTTGTGGTCCTGCTTTAGAGCTCTCCTGTTGAAATCTGCTTTAACTTTAACGGGAGAGGAAGGTTGGACTAGCAGAGCACAGTGCTTCCCAGGAGAAATGGGCTTCCAAACCTTTGGGAGAGGGGAGGAGAGCCCCAGTCCAGCTCCATCTGAAGCCAAGACTGGGCGAGGGCAGTGGGACCAGCCTGGTGGGAAGGGGGGAGATGTTCTTTACCGAGAGCTCGGGATGGCCAGTCCTTGTGGAAATGCCAGGAAGGATCTGCCCCTGCTCCTCCTGGAGCCAGATCGCTATTTCAGGACTTGTGTGCATGGGTGGGGACGTGGACAGTGCTTGTCCCACGTCCCGTTGAGGAGGGGGAAGTGGCACAGCTCCCGACTTTCCTCAGCGTTTCCCTGAGCTGTAGCGCAGCGCTCCGGAGCCGGGGCAGCTCCCCGGGGCCCTCCTGCTTTCCAAAGCTCTTGTTTGCAGCCGGATTTTTTCAGTCCCAGCTCCCTCTCCTCCTGACCGTTCATTAACACTGCTGGGTTGCCTTTTCCTGTTGCTTTTCCCCAAGTCCCCAGACGCGTTTTAGCGGTGTCAAGTGCTGCAGCAGGTTGTGGCTGCCCTCGCTTATTGACTGGCTGGAAAAGCCCCGAGGGTTTGCTGGAGCTGCAGATCTGTGCCTCGGCCACGGGAAGATCTGTAATTCCGAGTTTTCTGTAATTTCAGGTTCTCTTGCTGCAGAGAATTCTTAGGGAAAGGAAAACATTGTGTTCATTTTTCTTTATCAGTAACAAGAGGGGAGAGCCACAGGGGGGTCCCCCATGGGCTCCCAGCCAAGGCTGAGCTCCCGCTCGCTCCCATCCCAATCCCACCCACCCCCTCTGTGTTTTCCACCTTCCTTGTTTTATTTTCAGTTGTTTTCATGTCGTTCCCGCTCTCCCAATTTATCCCTGTTTCCTGTGGAGGACACGGTACTCAAAGCTTGTTAGGGTGCTCACACTGAGTCAGAGGGAAAAAATATCTGTGGGCTCGGTGCCGATGTCTGGGTGTCCTTCCTGCCACCCCCTCCCACCACAGCTGCTCGCCAGGTCTTCTTCACTTTTTGAACAAGAACTGCTCAACAATTGTTCAATTGGATTGTTGGGATTTAGAAAATTCAGAAATCTGCTGTGCGATGGGAAGTGATTTAACCCCCCGAGCTCAGGACGCTGAAAAACCTGTCTGGACTGTGCAGGATTTAATCCCATCCTGGGAGAGCCTCGTTTGAGAACTGAGACATTGAAAGGGTCAGGACTGGATACAAAATGTGCAGGGGGCTTCAAAATCCCCTCTGGTTTAGCTCTGGGGGTGGCAGCCCAGCGAAGCCCCCAGAGGACAAAATCCCAAACACTGGGGTTGAACAGGGGCAGCCTCACCCTTCAAACCATGTCCCCATCCCAGCAGCTGCACGATCTCCAAGGAAATTCTGCCCCAGATGTGGGGAGGGATGAAAACATGATTCTACTCTGAGGAGTCTCTTTTATTCAGAGATTAAACAGAAATGCTTTGTTTTCATTATGATTTTATTTAAAGTGAAGCATCTTGAAGCAGCAAAGGGGGGACTTCACCAAAATCTCAATTTTTTGTTTTCAATATCTTAATAATAATGATAATAATGATAATAATAATGATAATGATAATGATGATGATGATGATGATGATAATAATAATAATAATAATAATAATAATAATAATGATAATAATAATGATAATGATAATGATGATGATGATGATGATGATAATAATAATAATAATAATAATAATAATAATAGTAATGTCTTTGTAATCTGTATACCTTGGGGATAAAAATCCACTATTCAGTCAAATTCTCCTGCTTGATGAAAAGCTGCAGCCTGGCTCTTGTGGAAGGACTTGGTGTGGGGGGGAAGACCCAGGCTGGAGCAGGGATGTGGGAAAGATTCACTGCAGGGAGAAGCTGTCAGAGCTGTGCAGGGCAAAGGGCATTTCTGTGGGATTGGGCTGGGGATGATTCATCTCCTCAGCTCGGCTCACACAGAGCCAGGGCATCCTCAAGGTCTCCTGCACTCCAAGTTTTCTTGGATGGCAGAAGTGCAGAAAGGTCGGGGAATAAAGGGGAGTGGATGACTGGGGAGAGTGTTTGTCAGTGCCAAGGAAATGCCAAAAAAATTCTAATGAGCTTTGTCAGATGGATGCAGCTCAGCCCTGGCTCGTCCAGGCAGGAACAGCGCAGGAATTGAGCTCTACCTGCACCCTGGAGGGTGCAGAACCTCACTCAAGGTTGAGCTGGACCTCCTCAGGTGTCCAGCCTGGCTGCTTTGGCTGCTGATCCAGCTGGAGGTGGTGGGTTTGGGATGGGTCCTGCTCTGCCTCCTCTCTGCCTGGTGCTGACCTCCCCAGCCCGAGGTGCTCTGTTGGATCCAGTCCAGCTCAGGGAGCTGGGACAGCATTCCCAGGCCAGGAGGGAATGGCACAAGGCTGAGCTTGTCCACAGGGAGCCAAAAACTTCTTGCTCAAGATGGGCTTTGGTAAAACCAACTCGAAGTACACCTGATGCTTTGGGCTTCCAGCTCCTCTCTCCAGCGTTCCTTCCAAGGAAAACTGGAAGGGAGCCTGCCAGAGAGATGGAGAGGGACTTCTTAGAGGAGCATGGAGGGACAGGATAAGGGGAATTTATTCAAAATGGGCAGGGATAGATGGGATATTGGTCAGGAATTGTTCCCTGGCAGGGTGGGCAGGCCCTGGCACAGGGGGCCCAGAGCAGCTGTGGCTGCCCCTGGATCCCTGGCAGTGCCCAAGGCCAGGCTGGACAGGGCTTGGAGCAGCCTGGGACAGTGGGAGGTGTCCCTGCCATGGCAGGGGTGGCACTGGATGGGTTTTAAGGTCCCTTCCAATCCATCCTTTGGTTGATTGATTGATTGATTGATCCTAAGATTGCTTTGGGGACACAATCAGTTCCTCTCCATCCCCCACGGTCTGCATTCCCCAAGGGAATTCTCCTTGCTGGCTTCTCCTCCATGTGCCCTCAGGGTGTGTCCATGGAGTGACCACAGCTGCTCCTCAGCTCAGGCCATCTGCAATCAGAAAAGGAGCACAGAAGTGGGGCTCAAGGTATGATGAGAGCTGGCATTTCTGCCATGAGGCTCACCGTGGGCTAGGAAGCAAAAATAGAGTTTGATTCACTCCCTGCCAGCAAAGCCAGGTCTGTTTTTCCCTCAGAGCTCTGGGGAGATTGTCAGGTCCCATCTTCCCTCCTTCCTCCCCCCCTCCCCACTGAGTTGCCAGGGTTTATTTTCCTTCCCAGGTCTCTTCCATGACATGAGCAGCATGATGGAAACATGGCAGTTTCAGTCCAAGCAGCAGCCCCGAGAGGGAGAAGTGTGCTGAGAGCAGGAATTCAGTTCAGGAAAGGTTTCAAGGTTTCAGGCTCCAGCTTGCCTTGGAACAAACCCCATAATTTTGCAATTCACCAAGAGAAAATTCTCTCCCTCCCACCTTCCTCAGGACCACCACAATCTCTTTGTATTGTTCAAAACATTTCATTTGCATTTCTGATCTTTGTTCTTCTGCACTTGGAGAAAAAACTTTAAAACCTCAGAAAGGAGAAGGTTTCCTGGAATTTCCACGTTTGTGCCATTCTGGAAATGGATGCAGGGAGCTCTGGCAGGGAAAAGCCTTCCCCTGCTCCCCTGGCTGAGGCTTCTTCCTCATCACTCTACTCCATACCTGATCCAGAGAGGCATTTTGTGCTTGGAGACTGTATATTCCCTCCAAATATATCCTATATTCCACCCAATATATCCCATATTCCCCCCAAATATACCCCATTTTCCTCCCAGATATATCCCATAATGTCTCCAAATATACCACATATCCCACCCAAATATATCCCATATTTCTGTCAAATATATCCCATATTCCCCCTAAATATATCCCATATTGTCTCCAAATACATTTCATGTTCCCCTCAAATATGTCCCATATTCCCACAAAATATATCCCAAATTATACCCCATATTGCCCCAAAATATATCCCATATTCTGCCCAAATATATCCCATATTCCATCCAATATATCCCATACTCCACCCAAAATATATCCCATATTGTCCCCAAATATACCCCCTATTCCCCCAAATATATCCCATATTCCATCCAATATATCCCATACTCCACCCAAATATATCCCATATTGTCTCCAGATACACCCCATATTCCACCCAAGTATATCCCATATTCCCCTCAAATATATCCCATATTCCCCAAAAATACATCCCATATTCCATCCCAAATATATCCCATATTCCTCCAAGTATATCCCATATTCCCCCCAAATATGTTCTATATTCCCCCCAAATACACCCCATATTCCACCCAAGTATATCCTATACTCCCCCCAAATATATCCCATATTCCCCCCTAATATATTCCATGTTCCCCTCAAATATATCCCATATTCTGCCCAAATATATCCCATATTCCACCCAAATATACCCCATATCCACCCAAATATACCCCATATTCCACCCAAATATATCCCATATTCCCCCAAGTATATCCTATATTCCACCCAAATCTATCCCATATTCCCCTCAAATATACCCCATATTCCACCCAAATATATCCCA